GGGGGAGTGTGGAGAGGGGATAAGAAAGATCTTTGGAAGCCCACTTTGGGAATCACCTTAATGAATACTTAACTTAGAACCCTGTTTTCCAGTGGGAGGGGGGAACAGATACATTGTCTTTAGTAATTAATAGAACCTCAAGAGGAATTGGGGAGAAAAGAGAGGAAGTGTGCAGGACTTTGCTCTTTCTGGTCTCTTTGGATACTCATCTCCATGTGCAAACTCAGGGTTCACGTCCTGTTACACTGTGAAGTGTAGGTTATTTTACTTAATCCTGCAGCACAATGGTGGCTGTCAGGTTTAGAGAACTCCACCGAGCCATTTCCTAAAGGGACCTTTCAGGTGGATTATGGACATTATGTTGCATTTCTGTTAAAAGTGAAACTACACAGCCACAAAACACTAACAACATTCGTAAAAAAGGTGCAGGGTGGAAGGACAGAAACAACCGAACACCCCAGCACTTGTACTGCTAGACTACCATGGAGTGCCCAAGGGAACGGACACATGCTGAAGTGCCCTAGAGCCCTGGTTTTACTGAAGGGCCCCTTCCCCTGCACGGACAGGGAGTGCCACCCACCATCCTGTGGCTACTGGCATTAGACATTGTCCATATAAGCTAGTCAAGTACTAGCGCTGATTTCCATTTGTTCGTCAGAAGCCACATACCACATGCACACTTTACCCCATCATGCCTAACCAGCAACCAAGAGATCAGCAGGACTCTGCTCCTAATGGAACATAATGCATCTCCTTCCTACTCTTTCTGACCCCCCTCCTCGAACACCTGGCTCTAGCAGTCCGGCACCATGAAGCGCAGACTGAACATCAAGGTCTCTCTCTAGTCCGTCCACCTTCAAAACTCTTATTCTACGCTGTGATGAACGAGGGCAGTTTTGTAATATTTCCATGATTCCTATGTGTGCCTCAGTTTCCCACCGCGCTTTGCACTGAGTGTAAAGGGAAGGGATGAGGTGTTGACTCAGCAGCCTTCCTGGAAACCAGAGTCAAAACAAGCTGAATGAAGGCTACACATGTGAGTGGAGGATCGGAAGAGACAATGGAACCTCCAATCCCTGGTCCATTCACACCCAATGACCAACAGCCAAGAGGAAGGAGATCCCCCCTCCCCACACTTCTCTACAGGGAAGCAGAGCAAAGGCCCCGAGGTCGTTAGGCAAGCACTGTACAGTCCTCAGGGAATTTCTGCAGTCTCTGCCCATAGCTCTTCAGCTGTCCTGCATGCAGACAGACAAAGAGGAAAGGTAGCAGGTGGTGTTTTACAAGCTATGCTCAGAGAGATACACAGAACACACACCCCACCTGAAACCAGAGAACAGGACAGAGACCGAGCCAAAATGAATTCTACAGCAGCTTGGCTGGGTAGAGCTCTGACGCTGGCCACACTGGACTGTCTTAATCTTTGCTTCTCTGTGCTCACCCCTAAGGACTTTCAGATTCTGTACCCCCAGCTGACCGATACGTTGTTTTGAAAAGGCTCCCTACTGTCACTCGTATTGGGAGCACTGCACTCTGAAGGAGCGAAGGACACCTCCCACAGGAGTCTGGCTCTGCCAGATTTGCTGCAGGGAGCCATGGAGGGAAACAGGGATTGTTGGCACCCAAAAGCCCAGTTTCGGAGTATGTGGAGTCTTACCCCTGTGGAACTGGGTGGGTCCTTGGGGCCTGGCACATTAAAGAGGTCACCTCAAAAGGACTGGTTACAGGCTGAGGCATAGACCAGACCCTGTGGATCTGACACACAGGCACACAAGCATTTGTCACTTATACCTACAGTGCAGATTCCCCAAGACAGTGTTATGGGGAGGAAACATCTTGCTGGACACAGTTTAGGATTCTCCCTCTCTAAACTGCAGGGCAGTCAGAGGCCTGATCCTGAGAGGTGCAGAGTACAGTGAATTGGGGACCTTCGGCACTTCTAAAAATTAGACCAGCGAATCCAAACTGATCATAACTCAAGAGTATAGGCAATGGGAGTCGGTAGACATGTTTATGTATCTAGTATCGATCATCTCCTAGCCCTTACACCCAGGTTTCTCTGGAGCGGATTTTTCTCTAGCGTCAGCACCTTTCCTAGTTTGATCCCTGTAGCACTTCAGAGCCAACACACACAAAAGGTAACAATACACATGTGTGGGTGCCTGTATCATGCAACAGAGGGGCCCAGGGAGCCACATGCTTCCTCATCCTGGCCAGGGGCCTGTGGCCATTGGACAGGGGGTGCAGAAACCGACTAGAAACAGACAAATGAGACGTGAAGTGTCACTTGCAGAGAGGATGGCAATGAATGAAATGCACAGTGACACGTCCCTCCCTGCCCCAGGAACCAGCCAGCCTCAGCTAACTTTAGTGCAGCCACTGACATCTCAATGCAGGACAACATGGACTTGACCTTTACTGGTGGTACTGCATTCTTACCAGTCAAGGGGTGCGGTTCCTTTTGGAAATATTCCACACCCCTGCAGGGGTGCACCCCCAATGCCTGCACTTTGTAGAGCACAGCCCCTTTAGGAACACTACCAATGCACACCACACTCGCGTGCTAGAAATGCTCATGCAAAGGCCTTCCAAATTCCTGCCCTAGTTTAAAAGGTCTGCCACTGCTGTCAGGTTCAACAACGCACCTGTAAACAGCAGACCATGCATAGAAAAACAACCATCCGGCATTCATAGCAACAGGACCTTTAGGAACAGCTCAGAGGACTGTGCCAGAATCACATCCCTCTTGCCTTAACAGCACACCATGCTGAGAGGGGAACAGAAAGGGTATCCTGCCTTCTCATGGGTGGGCGGCGCGAGGGGTGGCCGAGCAGCAAGTGGATTGGTACGTCGGACCAGCGGCGGAGTAGGGATCACCTGCAAAGTATGACAACAATTCATGATGCAGAGGAGCCTCCTTGATGGATTGGTGCTTGTGGAGATTGACGCTATACTGCACTGGCTTGCGTATGAGGGTCACTACCTATAACGGATGGAATCAGGCCTGCTCAGGTACTGGGTCTTCCTACGCTTTTCTAGCAGGATTCTCCCTGGGCTTAGAGAGCAGGACATAAAGAGCAGCAATTTATTGCCTCTGCACTACACCCCAAACCCCACAGAATCCCAGCTGAGCCGTGTCCACATGGGTGGGGTTCAGGGGCATGTGGAATCACTGTTCAGCCTCTTCTTCTGGTTCTCAGGCTTTTCCACATTTTTCTCCCCTCCCCTCAGTGCCACACTGTGGAGGGGAGTATTGGGCCCTAAACTAATGGACTTGATTCCTTCAGTTCAATGGCGAGAAACAAAGATCATGGTCCATTCCCAATGCCACATGGATGTGGCCAGCAAACGGACACAGGATCTGGATCGTTCCATGCATGTGCACCTCACACTGCTATAAAGGGACAAATCTGATAGAAAAATCAGCCACTGGCAGCACTAAACTCATCTTCTGTAGAGCAGCCCAGTACCAGCCTTTACCCAAACGCTCTACCTAGAGAGCCAACAGGCCAGGAAGTGCTGGATTCAGACTTGTAATTGCTCTGTTCAATGAAGAGCACAAGGAAAAGCATGCCTGCATCGGTGGGAAGAATGGATCTTCATCAGTCTGACAGCCAACAGAAGATAGTGTCTTGGCAGGAGAAGACGCTACCACTGGCTCAGTCAGGGCTTGGGGAGAATGGAGGAATCTATGATCTTCAGAGGGAGGAGTGCCCACCCCAGAGAGTTCCTGGTAGTCATCAGAAGAAGTCTCCCACTGGAACAGAGGCTGGGGAGGCAAGCTGAAGGAGCAGGAGACTGGACTAGGAGCAGCAGCAGAGGGTACATAGGAAGGTTGTGGCGGGTATGGAGGAGGGGGTGGAGGAAGCGGAGAGGGAATAGGGTGAGAAGAGGAAGAAGCTTTGGCAGGGAAAATCTTGGCAGCTTCTTTGGGACGCTGGAGTGGGGGAGAAGCTGGCACAGAGACTGTTCTTCTCATGGGCAGGGGGGATTCTGGAGGAATTATAATCTAGAAAGAAAGGAGGGAGAAAGGTGAACAAATCTGGAGATGAACGGAGAAGCACTTCATGCAACAGAAGGACAGGCAGCATGAAACAGACGGTAACATGGCACTCACTACCTAGCACTTCTCTACTTTCCTTTCACGTCAGACCACAGAGTGCAAGCAGGCCAACCTCACTGCTGTAGCCAACCAGAAATAGAGGCCATGGTGCCATTTTCAATAGACCTTCCTTGAGGAAGTGCCTGAGTCTCAAGGAGAAGGCACCTAGCAACACCTGCCTAGCTATAAGCACTTCAGGGCAGGTTCCTTATCTTACATCTAAACATATCATGTTGCCAAGTAAAGAAAGAAATACTGTCTGCTTATTGACTGACCTCCCCACTGTGGAATGAAAATAAACCTCACTTCAATGCCTGACCTTAGACAACATTAGACTTCCTATCAGATAACACTGCCCTCCCAAGAGATTGCTTACTCCAATTCCTACATAGCTGGGATTTGGATTTCCTAGCTGATCTGTAAAGGGAACAGTGCTAGGACAGAGGAGTCAGATTCCAAAGCTATCCTAGGACTCTCCAGAGACCTGTCACTCCCACCTCCTACTCTACGTCTCTGTTAGAGACCTTCTGAGCAGAGCGACACGGGGGAAACCCTAGTACAGAGTTTGCTCTCTACCTTCTGTACTTGCTGTCCACCATCCTGCTGCTTCCTTTGTGGCCTGGCGGTGACAATGACCCCCTCAGTCAGCCAGTCTTCCTGGCTTTTCCATTCCTCCTCTTCCTGTTTGCTGATTCCCAATCTGTCTTGCAGCTCTTCAATCAAGCGATCCTGGGACACAGTCTTATGAAATATGACTGGCCCTACTTTCCGCCTCGGTGAGCGCTCACGATACATTGGGTGCACGTTAAGGTCTCTTTTGTCCTCTCAATTACAGATTTTATCTGAATGACAAGGTGACAGGTTCAGCATGAAAAGAGCAATGCAAGAGCAAGCCCCAAGATGCAGCAGCACAAACTTAAACTATTAGTGACAACTGTGAGCATAAAGAGTGATGGTATTTATTGCACAATGCCAAAGCTCCTCTTGGCACAGCCCAGAGCAGTGACTCAGTGCAAGGAAAATCCCAGCCAGGCCAGTCATAGCAGCTAAAAAGAACTCCGGCTACACAATGAAGAGAGATAATCCAGCACGAAGCCATGATTGGAGGTACAAGGTCACAGTTCAACAAGATCACCCCATTGGGTGTTATGGTTTCCCTAACACCACAGTGATCCAGGTCAGCTTCTTTTCATCCCTCCCCTCCGCAGTTGTGGGGGAAATAAAATTCCCCAGCACAGAGGATTCGGAGATGCACACAGCATTTCTAGTGCTGGAAGGACCCTAGGAGCTCCAGTGTCACTACTTGAACAGGCTCAGAGCTAAGCCAGCAGGGAAGAGGAGTTGCCATCCCAAGTCTGGACAGTCCTTAGCAAATCCCTCCATCACTGGGGAACAGCACTTTGCTCTTCAGAGACCTCTATAGATCATGCACTTGCCCCATTCTAGCTAGGAGACAGCCTGCAGATTATGGATGCTATTCCTATGCTGCACAAGCAGCCAAT